CCCCACTCTGCAATTGCAGAGTGGGGGCTGGGCGCTCCCTGCTGTTGGGGCAGGGAGATATTGTCCCCACCCAGACTCCACCGCTGGAGCATGCTCTGACAGCAGGCAGCTCCTGGGAGCAAGTAGCAATCTCCCGCCCCTTGCTGCCCAGCTGACAGGGAGCAAATTTGCTCCTGGTCAGCCATCTACGCGTGCCGTACTGTGCAGTAATTACTCGGCAGTTAATTTGCTAGTTGCATTTGCAAGTAGCTGTCTAGTAGAGCAAATTACTGCACTGTAAGGGTCAGCACATGTAGACAGTGACACTTACTATGCAGTAATTAGCTCTACTGTGCAGTAAGGAATCTTGTGTAGCGCCCAGTATGTCAGTTTAGAAATCATTCTTCATATACATGTGCTGACCATTACACAAATTATGGAGGGACTGGGCAGAACTCTATCAGTAATGTTGAATCAGAACTTTTCAATCCAATAGGAGGTTTAAATTTTCATTTTATAAAAATCTCACTGAAATGTCAAAAATTACAATGTCTGATATAAACATTAACCAGTGCACAAAGATTTATTTTACATGGAGGTGGATGAAAAATGAATTGATTCAAAGGGTATAATAACTATTTTTTAAAATACCCTTTTTTCCAATAGATTTTATCTGGATTGTTTTCCTTTTTTTGTACCCCTTTTGCAAGAAATCTAAAACAACCTAGCACTCATCCTTTGTCCATATTATTATTCTGTATGCTGATTGCCTGAGTATCATTTATATATTATTCATCTTTATCTATAAAGACTTGTATATTTTAGCTAAAAACAAAAGAAGGTATGAGTCCAGCTGAATCCAATAAAATTTGTTGTGGTGTGAACACCATCACAAGAAACTTCAGTAGCGTTAAGACAGATATGCATGAAGTGTATGACAGTCAAATGCACTAATCTGTTGATATAATTAATATGAAAGCATATGATGTCATTGTTAAGGTTTCATATGAGATGAAGCAAATTTGATAAGCAAGCAAAAAGCTTCGTAGATCAGTCAAAGTACCAGCTGGCACTGGAAATGAAACCTTTAATTAGTACAGAAGTTTGTTACCAGCTACAATGCTGTCAATAAGACGACAGAAAAGAACAATGAAGTTTCTCTCTCAACATCTTATTTCCATTCTTTAAAGGATGGATGGATAGATAGATCAATGCCAAAACTTAATTGCCTTTTAAGAGAGTTTTTATTTATGTCCCTGATGCTCTGTATGGAAATGAAAAATTGGCACAGAGCAGGGACTGTATCTTCCCCACATTCCAGATACTCCTGGGCCCCAAATATTTAGGTGGTTAAAAAAATTACAAAAGTAGCAAATGACTAGCCACAAGTCATACATAGGGACCTACCAAATTCCCAATTTCATGGATTATGCAAAATCCACACAATGCCTGTGAAATCTGGCAATGCCCATGAAATCCACAAAAATTTGAGAGAGAAAAAAAATACTTGGAAAATAAAATGCTGACTCCTCAGATGGTGTTAGTAGTCCTCAGGGCGCTACAGCAGCCTGGGAAAGGGGAAAAGGCTTCCAGCTTAAAGAGCTGCCAGGAAGATGGCCGCTGCCCCTGACCCTCACCACTTCTTGGTTGTCATGTGGCTGCATCCCTCTCCACCAATCAGCAGTGAGGCACAGGGCTGTATCATGGACAGTCCTCACAGCCAATCAGTGGTGAGGGGCTGGGCCACATGACAGGCAGCACTTGTAGCCAATCAGTGGCCCAGGGCAGGGTCACTGGGGCCCATGGCCCACCACACTCCACTACAAAATGACGGCTGGGCCCCGTATTCTGCTCAGCGCTGTGTGGCCATGCCCTAAATTTCCTTTTACAAAGTGTTGTCAGAAAAAAAAAAATCACTGTAAGTCTTATTGCTTTTATACACTATTTAATGAAAAGTCCCTCCATCTGAAAGGTCTCTCTAATGAGTTCTTACTACACATGCTTAGGGACCTACTCAATTCACGATTTTGCAAAATCAGGCAGTGTCTGTGAAATATGGCAATGTCTGCAAAATCTGCAGAGAAAAAAAAAAACATACTTAAAATGCTGGCTCCATGGCAGGAGCCAGCAATCCTCATGGCCGCTGCAGCCTGGCCACGCAACCCACCAGGGGACAGTGGGGAAAAGGAGCTGCCAGCATGAAGGGGAGCAGGCAAGATGGCAGCCACCCCCACCCCTCACTGCTGACTGACTGAGAAGGCTGCCTGTTGTGCAGCTCTGCCACTCTTGACCAGTCAGTCACTCTAAAACCACAAGACAACAGAGAAAATGAATAGAGAGAATACTGGATAATGTGAAGACATTATTTCCTTGCAGAGAATTGAAAATGGGGTGGCGTGGGCATCTAACAAATGCATTTTTGATTTAGCAAACATAATAAAATATTTTAAAAATTTGTTAATGTATGTTTGTAACAAGGTCTTACCCCAAGGGTGGCTGTGATGCCTCTCCTGGGCTATGGGTCCCTTACCCTGGTTCTCACCCCCCACAGGCTGCAGGTCCCTGACCCTGCCTTCTCTCATTCCTCTGCATCTGCAGCCATGCTCCTTGGCCTTGGCCATTATCCCTCGGGCCCTGGTCCTGGACCAGTTAAGACATCCACCACCCCTACAGTCTCAATCCCTAAACAACTGGAATTGCAAATCCCAGGCCCTAAGGCTGTCTTACTCCAAGCAACTGGGATGCTTTAACAGAGGGTCTCCTTGCAACCAGCTCAGGAGCTCTTTCCTCTATGGCCCTCAGGGCTAGGCTGCCTACCCAGCTCAAGCCCTAGGGTTATATCGTGAAAGCCCAGACCCTTTTGGGTTATGCAGCTCCCTTAATTGCCCTCTGCCTCACCTGCAACCTGCCTTCCCTTCAAGTAGCAGGAGCACCAAGCTCCCTGCTACAACATTTTAAATGATCAGCCATAACCAGTGGCATTTAGTTCCCACGTGTTTTGTCTTAAAAACATAACTGCTCAAAGTAGTTTAACAGAGTATTTTAATGTCATTAGAAACTAAGATGCAAGAAATTTGCTCAGTAAATCATTTTGAAGGCCTTATAGAAAATATATCTTAATCATGAACAAAAAAACAAAAGCCCAGTCTCTCCACACCAGTAGAAAATGAGGCTGAGGGTGATATTTCCTATATTTATTCACATACTACATGCCTCCAAATAAGACAAGAACCTTGTTTTGAGGAGGCAGAACAAAGAAAAAAAATTTCCTTTCAACCAAACTGTTCAAAATCATTTTCCTCATTTAAAACACTACCTTGTCCCCCACGTTTTCCATTGCTAATTTTTGGGAAAAAGGTGAATGTGGTATGTGAATAAATAAGGAACTTTTAAACAGTATAAGTGTCCTAGAACAGGGCTGTCCAACATCTAATAGGCTGGGGGCTCCACACCGTGCTGCATGGCCCCCCACTACCGTGCATCCCCTACCCTTGCCGTGCTGTAAAGCCACTTTTGGGACTCAGTGCCTCCCCCCTCAAACCCACAGGGCTCCATGAGCCCTGCAAGCCGCGTTGCCTTGCCCCCCCCCCGGCAACAGTAGCAGAAGAAATGGGGAGAGCAGCAACCATTTAGAAACCCAAGCTGATTGGATTCAACTTAACCTCTCACAGGCCACATGCTGCCTACAGCCCAGGAGTTGGGCAGCCCTGTCCTAGATTAAGGTAATTAAAAAAAAATGCTGTGTTTATTTCTTTCACTTCTCCCCTCAGTATTGTATTGAGTTGTATTATTTGCAAAAACCTTTCTTATAAACAAGATTTTGGATCCAATATGATCCAGTAAAAATTTGAGCATGCAAGAAACATAGGGCTACTCCTCTAAGATGTATATTTTCCTAGCTATATTTTTCACTGAACTGACACATGCAACAGAAAAGCCTCCTGAATATTGATTTTAATTTTTTTTCTTAACAGTTATTTGGCAATATTCACAATTACAGTTCTTCCAAAATTAAGGCAAATTTTTTCTTTTTAGAGTAATTTGCAAGGAATTTAAAATATAACTGAATAAAAAAAATAAGGTAAAACAATTCAAGATTAAAATGCTTGTAAAATGTAAAGCTACATAATGGCTTTAGATCGATATAAAATTCACAAATTGCTATAAATTTCATATAACATTTTTACTTATTAAAAATGTGGCTCAAAATAAATCTAGAGTCGCCTAGTGCACATAAAAAAGAAAAGAAGAAAAGCAGCAATTGGGTATCTTTCCTTCCACTGTTAATTACTAATTAAAATCTTAGCATAATTCATATCTATTTAAAATAATTTTGATTTTTTTTTAGGGGTTACACCAGCAAACCCTGCAAAAAACCACATTATAATTAAGCAGTTTTATAC